AGAAGCTATCAAAATTAACATTTTAAAAACTATAAGAAACATTAGAAGCAAGTCATGTTAATTAATACCTTGTAGAGTTGCCTGCCCAATCAAATAATTCCAGCTGTGTATTTTAAAAAGAATTTTGTTGTGCAGGGGATTTAGCTCAGTGGTTCTGCTGCCTGCCTCGAAAGCACAAGGGCCTGAGTTCGATTCCCAGCATCAAAAAAAAAAAAAAGAAGAATTTTCTTGTGATTGTTTCCATTAACATGAAGGATATGGAAAAGAAATATAAGTTTACTTTTTAAATTACAAAAGCAATACATGTTCCCCATGACAAGCTTTGAGCATCATAAAAATTTATGGTGCTATAGTATCCTGGAGTATGAATAAATTATATTTTGTTTATCTGGCAAATAGATACTCCTTCTTGAATGCTTAGGCCTTTTAATATTTTCTCCCAATCCACGAGTTGTCTCTTAACACTGTTCCCTTTGCTGTGCAGAAGCCTTTTGCTTAATCCAATGTTTGTTTGTTTCCTGTACTTTCGGAGTCTTATTCACATAATCTTTGCCCAGGTTTCATAGAAGAAGCAAGTCTGCTACATTTTCTTCTAGTACTATTAGAGTTTCACATCTTACATTTAAGTCTCTAATTTTGAGTTGCATTTTGTATAGGAGATGAGAAAAGGGTCTTTTTTTCTTCTGCTTGTAGACAAAAGAACAAGTTTTTAATATCATCGCAAAATAATTTATGAGTAGGACCACAGAATGTTTGCACAATAATGCAAATGACTCTGGAAAATACAACTTTTCTTTTCTGAATGTCATATGTATCAGTAAGACTATTTTAGCTGGGTGTGGTGGTGCATGCCTGTAATCCCAGCATTCTGGGATGCTGAGGCAGGAGGATCACATTCCACCCCAGTCTGGGCAACTTAGTGACTTAGAGAGAAACTATCTCAAAATTTTTTTAATTTTTGTTTTTTGAAACAGTATCTCAGGCTGGCCTTGAACTCCTGGAGATCTTCCTGCCTCAGCATCCCAGAATGCTGGGATTACAGGCATGTGCCACCATGCCCAGCTTTTTAATTGTTTTTTTAAAGGGCTGAGAATAGAGCTCAGTGCAAAGGACCTGGGTTCAGTCCCCAGTACAAAAAAAAAAAAGCTATAACTTGATCTCAACATGTGGGTAAGAATATTTTCATAACCTTTAAAATACACTTACTAGTTAGAGAAGCAAATCACAGTAGATGGTTAAACATCTTATGTGGCATGAAACCAGTGTTATACTAGAGGTGTCATGAAAGGCAATCATGGGTATCTTTTTCTTTCACTTTCTTTTTGTGGTGCTAGACATTGAACCCATGACCACACTCATGCTAATCATGTACCATTCTCCAGCCATGGATGTCTCCTCTTGATATGATCTAAATGCTTGTTTCCTCCATAGTAACAGACTGAAATTCTAACCCCAAGTGACATGGTGGCAGGGTGAGAGTCTTTAGGGAGGTGATTAGGTCACGAAGGTAGAGCCCTCATGAGTAGGATTAAGGCCCTTGTTAGAGGGACACCAGAAGTCTCTTGTTCAAGGACAAATTAGCAATTTGTAAGCCAGGAGAGTCTATGCTGGCATCCTGATCTTTGACTTCCAGCAGCAAGAATTCTGAGAAATAAATTCTGTTGTTTATAAACCACCCAGTTGGTCATATTTTGGTATAGCAGCTCAAAATAATTAAGACATTTCCCAACTCTGCCTTTAGTGGTATCTCATTAAGAGGTTGAAATCAAATATTGTGGGAGAATTTTCCCTATGGAATCAGAAAATGCTCTAGAATTGTTCCCCGGAAAGCCAGATACCAAATATTCATCAGACTGCGTTCCTTTATCATTCTCTCACTTTTTTTACATTACTTTAGTTGTAAATCCACAAAAGTCTTTCATAATACCTCCTTTCTTTTCCCCAGTAATATCTTTTATGGGGCCAGGATCTCATCCAGCAAGATCTATTGAATTTTGTTGTCATGATTTACTTTTCTTCAATATGATACTATTCCCTAGTCTTGTTGTGGTGGTTAACATCTAGATGACCCCCAAGAGCCTATGTGCTCATAGGCATGGCTTTGGGTAGGTGACTGGGTTATGGGCATTTATAGCTGGATTGCTGTTATGAAGGAGGGTCTGACTGGAAGAGGTCGGTCACTGAAGGAATGGCCTGGAAAGGTTTATCTCCCTCCTCATCTCTTCCTTGTTATCTCTCCTTGATCTTTATGAAGTAAGTAGCTTTTCATCCTCTGTCATGCTCCTCTGTCAGGCCACCCTACCTTGGAACCTGATGACTACTGACTAGAACTCTACAAACTGTGAGCCAAAAACAAAATTCTTCTGCTTTAAACTGTAGGTGTCAGGTATTTTGTCTCAGTGAAGAAAAAGTAACTAAGATGCTTGGCTTGTCATTGATGACCTCAACATCAACTTGTCTGATGTTTTCACATAATTTACTCATTCTGGCTCTGGATTACCTCAAAAGGGATGCTGTTGTGTTCTTTCCTTGCGCTGAATCAGGAGACACATGATGTAAATTAGTTTATATTTGGTGATGTTAACTTTTGTCATTTAAATACAACGTCAGCCAGATTCCACCACTGTAAATATCATTGATGTGTTTTGTCCACCTAAATTAATAACTAATTAGTATTTTTTGAAGGGCTCTCTCTCCCTCATCCTACAGTATTGGGGACTAGACCCAGGACATTCACACTGAGCAACAACTGTTGCTTATTTATTTTATTTATTTATTTTTAAGCCAGGGTCTTGCTATATTGCCCAGACTGGGCTCAAACTCATGATCTTCCTGCCTCAGCCTCCCAGAATGCTGGGATTATAGGCATGTGGCACTATGCCTAGCTATTTTAACACTCTCAATGTAGGACAAAGCTTTCTCGTCTTCCTCATTTATCTATTTATTTAATATGCATATCAATAGAGATATACATACTTAGTTTCCTATTTAACTCAAAGCATTTCAATCTGTAATGTCTGCAAATTATTTTGATCTTCAAATTTGGTCAATGGAAATCCCTTAGAAGTGGCTTTTCTGTCCAGTTGATGTCTCATTATTCTTTGAGTACTTCCTTTGATGCAAGACTATCCATAATGTTAATTTCCCTGCCTCCTCCTTGGATTTCCTGTCTCGTTCCTCCCAACAGACTTAGTTCCTTTTAGTGGAAAATACTGCTAAAAGTCAAACTTGGAGTACTATGTGTTCTCATTACTACTGGAATCCTATTGTTTCTAAGCCCACAAAGCAACAGAGCAGAACTATATGTATAATATATACATGCTATCTATCATTTACTTACCTGCCACACATATGCCAGTGACTCTTAATTGTCAACTTGCCTGGATTAAGAGAGTCTTGGAGAGGTGATTAGGTTGTAGGGGTTCATAGCTGAATGTGCTGTTAAGAGATGGGGCCCAGTTGGAGATGGGTTAACTGGCACCATGCCTTGGAGTGCCTATCTGTCACTGATGCCCTTTGCCTGTGGTCTGCTTCTTGACTGCCATGAAATGAGCAGCTTTCCTCCACCATGCCTTTTTGCCATGATATTCCTGACTTGGAGCCAACCATGGACTGAAACCTCTGAAACTGATCCAAAAATAAACCTCTCCTCCTTTAAGTTGTGGGTGTCAGGTACTTCACCTCATCAATGTGAAAGCTGACCAATGCAACATGTGTATGAGTTCCATCTATGTATACATAGTAAAACTCATATGTACACATTGATTTTTCTAATTCCACTGCATCTGAGAGTTATTCTACCATTTTTTTTATACCAGGGATCAAACTCAGGACCTTGTGCTTTCCAGGCAGGTGTAGCACCACTGAGCTAAATCCCTGGCCCTAATCCTTGATTTTGATGTTCAAACCATCCCATAAGTGGTCAGTAAAGGTCCTCCAAACTGGCACTTATGAATTTTTGCTTTTTACATATTTTTATTTTTAAAACACTTACATACATTTATTATTTTAATTGATGAACAAATATATTTGTGATGTACATGATGTTTTGATATAGGCAGTCATTGTGGAATGGCTAAATCAAGCTAAGAAATGTATGTACTGCTTCATACTTTTTTGTGGCAACACATTTAAACTCTACTCTCAGTGATTTTGAAGTTTACAACACATTAACTATAGTCACCATGGTTTAAAGTAGATCTCCTGAACTTAAGACTTTCTGCTGATAGTTTCTGAGCAGTTTTGTTTTGTTTTGTAGCACAGGATGGTACAGGCTTTTACTTCCTATGCCCCAGCTCAGGAATCATTTCTCCAATTTCATTTTAGTAGGAAATAGTTTTTAAAAGTAGGATCTGAGCCACTGATGAACTCATTGTTTGTGAGGTGCTATGACTTCTAAACTTTTGCAGATAGTAGATATGTACAAAAAGCATGAAACTACAAATCAACTAATACTTCTAATCCAACCATGTTTCTCCTCTCTTTTCCTAATGCCTTTGTTTCTCGTTTCCCACTGCTTCCCCCAACATCAATCAACATACTTTTATTTATGTGCAGTATCCTACAGTATACATGAGTGGGCTTTGGAATTGCCTCTTTCCCTTTAAAAAAATTACATGTATATAGGTACTCTGTCCTCTTTTGGCTAGGCTGAGCCTTTAGGCTTTGGTGACATTCTGGTCAGCACATTTGTTGCCTCCATGAGCAGCAGGATAGCCAAGATGTCTGACAACTTGCCCAGGTCCCAGGCCTGGGTCCAGGAGAGGTCTCACTACAGGACCTGGGTGGGATCCGAGAGCGTCAAGGGCTGTAACCAGGTGTCACTGTTGTCTTCCAGGGTGCATGTGTCTTTAATTGGCAATGAGCATATGGTCAGGGGATCCGGGTGTTCACTGCCATCCTGGGCTCTGGGCCTGAAATACGCACAGAGAGCCCCAGAGAAGCTGTCGCTGAAGGTGAAGATGTGGGAGCCATCGGACACGTTGAAGAAAGAGAGTGTTCCCGCCTCACAGTCAAGGAGAAGGCCCACGCGCCGGGGAGGCACACGCAGGGTGAGTGCCACGCGGTGCGGGTCCAGTGCGAAGTACTCGCAGTTCCACAGACCCAGCACCCAGTAGCCACTGGCTGGACTGAGGCATGCGGGCCCTGAGTGTGGCACTGCTGCCAGGCATACGCCTAGGAACCAGCAGCTGCGGCGACCCACATGCACCTCCCAATAGTGGCGGCCGGAGGAGAATTGCTCCCGGCCCAGCACACACTTATGCTGAGAAAACCATGGATCGCTGGCTACTGGGCTAGGTGGCCCTGGGCGGGTGGACACACTCTTGCCATCCTCGGAGATCTCAAGGTTGGGGTGGGCTGTGGCCCGATCCAAGGTCACATTCACTGTGCATGAAGCATGGGGTTAGCACAGGTGAGCACGGTCCTAGGACCCTCTTACCCACCACCCCAAAGATGAACCTCTAGTTTCTCCCTGGCAGAGCAATCAGTGGGATTATCACCCTGCCCAGACTGACACAATCCTCTCTCTTCCACCTGGCTTCCAAAGTGGCAGGTAAGGCACTCTGGAGCATATGAAACTGATGGGTACTCTTACTCTTTTCCCAAACTGGAAGGTTTATGAATTCTGTACTTGGTGCCAGTGTGAGAAGGGGTGAAAAGAAACAGTGAATGAGGTAGGTGTGTGTGTGGCAGGGGTGGGGCGGGGGGGGGGAGTCAAGTCCTGGACAGGGGCTCTGAGGTCCTCATGTGAGCTTTTGGCTTTACAACAATTTTAGGATTTTCAAGACTGAAAGGAACCTGTAAGCTGATCTAGTCCAGTGTCCTGCACTCCCTCCAACCCTGAGATCCCTTCTATGAATTGATGACCCAAGAAGTTCCTTTCATACTCCACATTCTCTTCTGCAAACAGGCCCAGGAAGCATTAGAGAATTAACCTAGTAAAACCCACTAAGCAATGGGTAGGCAGGGGCAGAAGTGTGTGGATATGTTCTAAGGTTACATGTTACAGATGTACACTGTGTACACATGTGGATGTGTCACGTTGTGTATGCAAGTGTGCTTCTCTGTCTGTGTTCAGGCCCTATATCTGGCTCCCAGAAAAGACTCTTTCTCTCATCTCAGATGATTCCTCATGCCTTCTATTTAAAATCCAGCCAAAGCCAGTATACACCTGTAATCCCAGCACTCAGGAGGCTGGGGCAGGAGTATTGCTGCAAGTTCGAGGCCAGCATGGGCTATATAGTGAGTTCAAGGACAGCCTGGACTGCACAGTGAGACTCTGTCTCAAAAAAACCAACTTTCACCAAAAAAGATCCAGCCAAACCTACCAACAAAGTCATAGTTTCTCAGCTTCAGTTACCTGCATATTGTTGGGCTGCTTTCCATTCTGAAACCAAAAAACAGAAAAAGAGGCTCAGACTGCTGAGTCAGTAACTCTGAAATCTTGAAGGAGGATCAAGACGAATGAGTGATGACTCTAAACCCAAAGAACATCATCCCCACAGCTGGTATGGATCCAGCATATCAGGTCCACCTTAGTATTTAACTGAGCCATGTACAGGCTGAAGTTGTGCTGGTTAATGCCAGGAGAATGGAGCAGGAACACAAAGCACCATGATGGGCAGCCTGAATGCACTGAGGCATGGCAGGAAGTCTCAAGTCTCTGACTGGCCAGGCTCAGTCCTAGAGGCCAGCTGGGCATGCTCCTACTCTGAGAGGTCCTCCAGACATCCTGTCTTCTCTCAGGCATCCTTTCTTTCTTTCTTTCTTTTTTTTTTTTTTGGTATCGGGGATTGAACTCAGGTCCCTGCCCTTGCAAGGCAGGCGGCGGAACCACTGAGCTAAATCCCCAGCCCCCTAGGCATCTTTCTATAATGTGAGCCATTCTGAGCAGATTTCTGTTCTGTTTTTTTCTTGTTCTATCTTGCAACAAATATTTGACCAAAAACAGTAGTGGATTTTTGCAGATCTCCACACATTTAATCCTGGCTTTATACCAGAATAATCAGTAAAACTTAAAAATATATATAGCTCTTGCATGAAAAAATTCAGCTCATAAAATGTCAATTCTCTCCAAATTTATAAATTCAAAGCAATCCCATGTCAATCAACTTTTGAATTTTTTTAAAGAAACTTCATGAGTTTATTCTATAATTTATATTTTAAAGGGTCCATTAACTTTAAAAAAGAAGTAGAACATCCCCTGCTCCTGGGTAGGAAGGATCAACATAGTGAAAATGGCCATACTTCCAAAACTGCTAGATAGATTCAATGCAATTCCAATAGAAATCCCAGCAGCATACTTCAGAGACTTTGAGAAAACAATCCAAAAATTCATTTGGAACAAGAAGAGACCCAGAATAGCAAAAGCAATTCTAGGCAATAAAGACAAGGTAGGGGGTATCACAATCCCCAACTTGAAATTATACTACAAAGCTACTGTGACAAAAACAGCATGGTACTGGCAAAGAAACAGACCTGAGGACCAGTGGAACAGATTAGAAGATGCAGAAACAACTCCAGAAACACTCAGCTACCTCATCTTTGACAAAGGAGTCAAACACCGTCACTGGAGGAAAGATACCCACTTTAATAAATGGTGCTGGAAAAATTGGGTTTCAACTTGCCAAAGATTAAAACTAGACCTGTATCTCTCACCATGCACTAAACTAAAATCAAGATGGAGTAAAGATCTAAATATTAAAATAGAAACGCTGAACCAGCTAGAACAGAGGTTAGGTAGAACTCTTGAAGACATTCACGTAGGAAAAGATTTTATGAACAAAACCTCAGTTGCCCATGAACTAGCACAAACAATCAACAAGTGGGATCTCTTCCTATTAAAAAGCTTCTGCACAGCAAGAGAAACCACCAGCAGTGTGAAGAGACAACCCATAATGTGGGAAAAAATTTTCACCTGCTGTTCCTCAGTCAAAGGTCTACTATCTAGAATCTATAAAGAACTTAAAAAGATCAGGCCTCCCAAATTTAAAGACCCAATCCAAAAATGGGCATCTGAAATGAACAGACATTTCTTAGACAAAGAAGTAGAAATAGCAAATAAACAGATGAAAAAATGTTCAACATCACTGGTCATTCGAGAGATGCAAATGAAAACAACACTGAGATTCCACCTTACCCCAGAAAGAATGGCTGCTATCATGAAACCAACCAACAGCAAATGCTGGTGGGCTGTGGGGAAAGAAGAAGCCTGCTCCACTGCTGATGGGAGTGTAGACTGGTGCAACCACTATGAAAATCAGTATAGAGGTACCACAAAGAACAAGGACTGGAAGTCCCATTTGACCCAGCTATTCCCCTGCTGGGTATCTTCCCCAAGGAATTAAAAGAAACATACCACAGTTGTAAATGTGCACCTATGTTCATAGCAGCATAATTTGTAATAGCTAAAACTTGGAAACACCCCAAATGCCCATCAACTGGAGACTGGATAAAGAAAATGTATTTTTTTAATAAAATGGAGTACTACTCAGCTATAAAAAATGAGAAATTAAAGATATGTATAGCTAAATGGATGCACATTGAGGTGATACTCTTAAGTGAAATAAATACGACACACATGTGTAAATACTGAATAGTGTCTCTAGTGTGAGAAACTGAAAGTGTAAATAAGGACTAAAAGGTATAATAGATAATGTGAAATAGGAAGAAAATGGGCAAAGGGGAAGCGGAAGTGGGAGGGGTAGGGGAAAGGCAAGAAGGGAATGGAATTACTATGAGAAAATGAAAAAATGGAAACAAAGTCTGTGTAAATAGGGAGGGATGTAGGAGCTGAAGGGAGGGCAGAGGAAGGGGGAAAAATAAGAACCAAGAGAGATTATTTAAAGGTGCAAATTTCCAATGATTAAAAAAAAATTAGAAAAGAAGTAGAAATGAGGAAAGAGAACTTGTACTTTCGGTTATTGCAGAAGCCATAGGAGTAAAAGGAATGAGGTAGTAGGTAGGCCGAAGGACAGACCTATCTATACATGGGATCTGACCATGCACTAAAGGAGACAGCTCACATTAATAGGTAAATTATGGACGGTGTACTCAATGGCTTTGAAGAAACTAACTCACTGTGTAGGGTAATATTACTGGACTCTTACCTGACTCCAAGAGAAATAACAAAATGTAGGATTAAAGACCTACATACAACACATATTACCATAGTTTGAATCAGGAATGTTCCCCAAAGGCCTACGTGTGAGACACTTGGTCCTCAGCTTGGTGCTACTGGGAGGTAGTAGGAATTTAAGCAATGAGGCCTAGTTGAAGGCTTTTGGCCATAGGGGTAAGGCCCTTAAAAGTGATACTGGGACCTATGTGCTCCTCTTTCTCTTTTTCCTTCCCAGCTGCCATGAAGTTAGCAGCTTGCTCAACCACTTGCCAGCCCCAGCCAGGATGTGTAAGAGCACCACGTGACCATGGACTAAAAACTCTAAAACCATGAGCCAAAATAAACCCTTGCCCTTTTTAAATTGATCATTTTAAGTATTTTGATTATAGTAACAGAAAGCTAACATAAAAATTAATAAAGTGAGAAGGAATTATCCTTGTGGGAAGATGGTAGAGTGGTGAACAGTACAGAAACAGCCTTTTTGAGATTTGTTGTCCAGACAATGGACTATAGCAATGTGAGAAAGAGAAGGAGAGAAGTGGGTCCCTGGGACTCAGCAAGGATCTAAATCAAGAATTGAAGCCCATAGGGAGAACAACGAGAGAGACTTCAATGAAGAAGAAAATGACAAGCAGTGCTTTCTCCCAGAGCTCTGACATACTGGGTGGGAAGGGTGGCTTAAACCTGCATATCCACAGTGACTACTGGCAACCCCAGAGACTTACACAAAGAAATGCACCAGTGACTGCTTCTGCCTGGCAAGGGCAAGGTCCTGAGTTTGATCCCTGGTACAAAAAAAAAAATGTACCAGTGGAACAGAACACTGGCTGCAGTGGCTGGTGAGTTATTCAGGTTCAGGTGTTCCCCAGGAGAGGGCAATTGCCTGATAGCCATCTTAGAGAGGGGCAACTGAGCTTGAAACTCAGACAGCTGTGGGCTGGCTCTAACACGGTTAGGTTTAATTTTCTCCCCTAAGGGTAAAGTCACCACACTGAGAGTATATTTACTGTATATAATTTTGTGATTCTAGATTTTGTTATATAGCCACAAATCTACTTCACACAATTAAATTTGGCAAATTAATAGTTAACAATTTGCCACTTTTTTTTTAGTTTGTCACTTTCTAGGATAAGTTTGATGCTATTTTTATTGCTGATTGTACTACATCATCATCATCATTATTATTATTATTATTATTATTATTATTATTATTATTATTTTCGGTACTGGGGATTGAACTTGGGCCCTTGAGCTTGCAAGGCAGGTGGCATAATCACTGAGCTAAATCCCCAGCCGATTTTATTATTATTATTTTCTTTCTTTTTTTGAGACAGGGTCTGGCTTGGTAGTCCAGGCTGGCCCTGAACTCACTATGTAGCCCAGGCTAACCTTGAACTCATGGCAATCCCCCTGCCTCTGCCTTCTGAGTGCTGGGATTACAGGCATGCAGCACCACACCCAACCTACTTTAGACAAGGTGACATAATTGTTCTAATCAGTTATTCTTCCTGGTATGCCAAGACTGAGATTGTCTAAGGGTAACAAACAATACTATAGGCCAGTGCCAAAGAAACAGGGGCTAGGCCAAATAGGCAGCAACTTCTCACTGCCCCCCAAATTGAATAGGTAGGATCTTACAACAGACTCAAAGCCCAAAAGCCAGCTACAGGGCCAGGGATTTAGTTCAGTGGTTCTGACACCTGCCACACAAGCGCAAGGTCCCGAGTTTGATCCCCAGTACCAAAAACAAAAAAACAAACAAAAGCCAGCTACACCTGGAAGACATCTCTGAGAAGTAGTAATTTCCTAAGAGTTCAAAATACTAGCAATAAAGCTACTTGCCATATGCAATTTACAAGCACTAACCCAGAAATTAACTAAAAACAAAAAGAAAGGAAAAAGAAAATGAGAGGACACTTAAGCAAGCTACAACCCCAAACTTCCAGTTAACCAAAGACAAACTTAGCGGGCAATGAAGTGGAAAAATTTAAAACCCACCCACCTGGACTCTCTGAAGTGGTAACAGCTGAAGTAACAAAGCAAATGAATGAGGATTTATAAAAATATCAAATCAGAAATAGTTTCTCAGATAACTACAGAGACAGATGATGACCATGATGAAAGACATGATCAATGACTAGAGCAGATAGAGATTAAAAAAAATAGAGAAGTTTAGGAAAATGATGGAAATCATGAATGCCCAATATAGGAAAGAACTGGAATTCATGAAACAGATTCAAACAAATATCCAGCAGATTAAAAATTCC